TGGGCTGTATGGCAGAATGGCTAGACTGAAGCCCTATCTTGGTCCAAAACACTTGAAAGTCCTCTTGGAATTTGCAAAAAATGGTCTCAATTCTAAAAGTTATGTTCGGAGGAAACCAGGCACTGCTTATCATCTGTACAATACCATTAAACAGCGAAGCATGGTGGTGGCAATATCATGCTGTGGGGGTGTTTTTCAGAAGCAGGGACTGGGAGACTGGTTCGGGTAGAGCTGAATGGAGCCTAGTGCAGAGAAATCCTCAATGTAAACCTGTTCCACAGCACTCAAGACCTCAGATTGGGCCGTAGGTTCACCTTCCAACATGACAACGATCCTAAGCACACAGCCAAGACAACACAGGAGTGGCTTAGGGACAACTCTGTGAATGTGATAGAGTGGCCCAGCCAGAGCCCTGACTTGAACTCTATTGAACATGTCTGGAGAGACCTGAAAACTACTGACCACAGATGGTCCCTATCCAATCTGATTGGTCTTGAGAGGATTTGCAAAGAAGCATGGCAGAAAATCCCCTAATCCAGGGGTGCAATGCTTACGGTGTCATACCCAAAAGGACTTGAGGCTGTAATTGCTGCCAAAAGTACTTCAACAAAGTACTGCATAAAGGGTCTGAATACTTAAGTACATGTGATATTTCAGGGTTTTTTTTTAATAAATTTACACATATTTCTAAAATTCTGTTTTTACTATGTCATTATGGGGTACTGAGTGTAGATTAATGAGAAAAAAATTAATTTAAAGCGGAGTTCCAGTTGAATAAAAAAAAATAAAAGCTAGCAGCTTCAAAAACTGTAGCTGCTGACTTTTAAAATACAGACACTTACCAGTCTCTCGGTCCAGTGGTGACCTCACAGCCGGCCGGCCGTCTTCTCTCCTGGCGCCGGAAACTTCAGTGTGGGCACCCAGCTGTGACAGCTTGTGGCTTCATATGCGTGAGTAGAGCTGCACTTTGTGAATGGTCCCGTAGTCTTCTGGGGCCTGGCGTGTCCCAGAAGACTACAGGGAGGGAGGGGGAGGACAACTTCTGCTTCTGATCACCTTAGGCAACCTGTCAAATTTGGGTACACGCTCCCCCCCAACTTCCCAAAGATGTCAATCCTTAACAGGGAGCGGGGGGGGGGACAAAGGCTTGAAAGCGCAACTTCCCCTTTTGGGTGGAGCTCCGCTTTAATAAACTGTAGTATCAGGCTGCAACATGACAAAATTTTAAAAATAAAGGGGATCTGAATACTTTATGAATGCACTACATTTACAGTATATATATACATAAAAAGTTTTATATATATATAAAAATTTACAAAGATCCAGTGGTATTAATTAACATGAGAATCTTCAATTTTCGCTCATCTCTAATAGCTCATGCTGAGCCTTCTCTTCTTTTTTTTAAGTAGGAATGTTGTGACAGATATGTTGCTTTCACAATGTACAATATACTTTCCATGATTTTCTTATTTCTGTAGAAAGAGAACATTATCCCGAGCACAATGCATTATGAATAGTTTTCAGCACAGTCACAAGATGAAAAGCTGGATAGGGCAAATTCTTGCTAACTTCAAGTCATCGGTCACTGCCTTTTTGCTTTTCATTGCACTGCAAATTACTGTAATAATTTTCTGTATTAAGATCAATAGACTATTGAACGTTGTAGATTTGCAATATGTTTATGTCAGTCTGAATTATGCCTGTTTTTACCTCTTATAGCTATTTTAACAACAGGTTTTCAGATCCCAGAGTACATCATTACTAAGTATATATATTTCACTCCACATTTACACAGTAAAACTGTAGCAAGGGTCAGTTTCTACACAATGGTTCAGTTCCCAGTTGTGTGTGTTAGTCGGTCTTAATAAAAAAATGTAGCGCAAAGTGAAACGAACAATAAGCTTTCACATTAAAGCAGAACTACACTGCATCTGAGCACCACAAGCCAAAAATGCTATTTCATTCACTTTTAATATTCAGAGCAGACTCCACCATCCATTCATGTCTCCATGATTTATTTAGCTAAGAAATCACTTTGAACACCCCCCCTAGCATTTCTGGCTTAGGCCATCTTGAGTAAGGGCAGATGATTCATGCCCTTAGCTCAGGCATGCGTGCAGGAGGGTGTGTTTAGCTGAGAAAACCCCTCCTCCTTTCCTGAAGTCTCCTGAGATGTATAACATCATATGCCTAGGAATGAAAACCAGGAAGTAAATGAAGAAATGTAAAAAAAAATGTTTAAAGCAAATAATATATTATACACTGCTCAAAAATATTAAAGGAACACTTTTTAATCAGAGCATAGCGTCAAGTCAATTAAACTCCTGGGATATTGATCTGATCAGTTAAGTAGCAGAGGGGGTTGTTAATCAGTTTCAGATGCTTTAGTGTTAATAAAATTAGAACAAGTGCCTAGATAGGCAACAATGAGACGACCCCCAACACAGGAATGAGTTTACAGGTGGAGGCCACTGACATTTTTTTCCCTACTCATCTTTTCTGACTGTTTTTCACTAGTTTTGAATTAGGCTAGGGTCAGTGTCACTGCTGGTAACGTGAGAATATACCTGGACCCTACAGAGGTTGCACAGGCAGTCCCAACTCCTCCAGGATGGCACATCAATACATGTCATTGCCAGAAGCTTTACTGTGTCTCCCAACACAGTCTCAAGAGCATAGAGGATATTCCAGGAAACAGGTAGCTACTCTAGGAGAGCTGAACAGGGCCGTAGAAGGTCCTTAACCCATCAGCAAGACCGGTGTATCTGCTCCTTTGTGCAAGGAGGAACAGGATGAGCACTGCCAGAGCCCTACAGAATGACCTCCAGCAGGCCACTGGTGTGAATGTCTCTGACCAAACAATCAGAAACAGACTTCATGAGGGTGTCCTGAGGGCCCAACGCCCTCTAGTTTACCCTGTGTTCACTGCCTGGCACCATAGAGCTCGATTGGCATTTGCCATTGAACACCAGAATTGGCAGGTCCACCACTGGTACCGGTGATTTTCACAGATGAGAACAGGTTCATCCTGAGCACATGTGACAGATGTGAAAGGGTCTAGAGAAGCCATGGAGAACGTTATACTGCCTATAAAATTGTTCACCATGACCTTTTTGGTGGTGGGTCAGTGATGGTCTGGGGAGACATATCCATGGAGGGATGCACAGACCTCTACAGGCTACACAATGGAACCCTGACTGCCTTTAGGTATCGGGATGAAATCCTTGGACCCATTGTCAGACCCTACGCTGGTGCAGTGGGTCCTGGGTTCCTCCTGGTGCACAACAATGCCTGGCCCCATGTGGCAAGAGTATGCAGGCAGTTCCTGGAGGATGATGAAGGAATTGATGCCATTGAATGGCCTCCATGCTCGTCTGACCTAAATCCAATAGAACACCTCTGGGATATAATGTTTTGGTCCATTCGATGCTGCCAGGTTGCACCTCAGACTGTCTAGGAGCTCAGTGATGCCCTGGTCCAAATCTGGGAGGAAATACCCCAGGGCACTATCCACCATCTCATTAGGAGCATGCACTGACGTGGCATGCATATAAGAACATGGGGCCATACAAACTACTGAGTACCATTTTGAGTTGCTGCAATGAAATTTCAGCAAAATGGATTTGCCTGCTTCCTCATTTTTTCACTTTGATTTTTGGGGTGTCTTTGAATTCAATCCTCTGTAGGTTTATCATTTTTTTTTCTATCAAACGATGGGGCATGGTTACGTTCCTAACACATTACCCCATCCATATCGGTATAGTTATCCAGCATGAGATTTTTCCCCATTACGTTTTTGAGCAGTGTACTTTCCTATCTATTTGCTAATACTGACAGCATAAGGATTAAAAATAGTCAATGTTGATTGAAAGAATGAAGTTAGAATTTAAATGCTAGACTCATATGTAATATTTGGTGTTTATCTGATTAAAAACAAATTTTTTAAAAAATGATCCTGTCCTCATTAAATGAGTAACCATTTGCCGACCCCCCACAGTAATTTTACTGTGTCCAGGAGGCTCGGACATTAGGCACTTTTTTCTTAGATCAGGGTGCACGCACACCCCCAACCACCATGTGATTATACACAGCAGGGTTTTGTCAACAGGTTTCAATCAATGATTTATGGCTGAGACCTGCTGATAGGCTGTGTCCAATCATAACCCAGAGCCCTATGTTGACATGTACACAGGGCTGTCTGTATAGAGGGAACAATCTGTTTGTTTCTTCCCCCTGCAAAGCAGTGAAGAGAAATAACAGATGTTTAATAAAAAGCAGCACATATTACACTCATTGACACTTGTTAGGCGCTTAACCCCTTGATTACCCCCCTTGATTACCTGATTAGATGTTAACCCCTTCCCAGCCAGTGTCATTAAGTACAGTAACAGTGTAAAGTATTATCATTGACCACTGATATTAGTGTCACTGGTGATGTCAGTGTCAGTCAGTTAGTCTACCTCCCACCCAATGTCAGTTAGTGTCAGATAGCCCGCTGCACTATCACAGTCCCACTATAAGTCACTGATCACCTCCATTACTAGTAAAAAAAACATAAACAGGTAAAAATTCCAGTGTATATATACCATAGTTTGTAGACCCTATAACTTTCACACAAAGCAAGCAATATACACTTACTGGGCTTTTTTCCCCAAATACATTTTGGCCTACATTTATGAAGAAATTAGATTTTTTTATTTTTGTATTGGATATGTTTTATAGCAGAAAGTAAAAAAAAATTTTTCAAAATTTTCCAATGATCAATGACACACTGATCACAGGAAAATGCAATTGCCAATTCTTGGCTGCACTTTCCTCATGCTGTCAGAACGTGGGGAAAGTACTGCCGAAAACCGGCAGTTTTCAGAGCAGGGATCGGTACCGATCATCAGGGGACTGATGATCAGTGCCCTGATGATCGGTGTCCAGCAGTGCCACCCACCAGTTCCACCCACCTGTGCCCAGCAGTGAACCAACCTGTGCCCAGAAGTGCCACTCACCTGTGCCACCCACCTGTGCCCATCGGTGCCACCCACCTGTGTCACCTACTTGTGCCCATCAGTGCCACCCACCTGTGCCCATCAGTGCAGCCCAGCAGTGCCGCCAGTAAGTACCCAGATGTGCCAGTCAGTGCCCAGCAGTGCAGCCAGTCAGTGCCCAGCAGAGCCGCCAGTCAGTGCCGCCTATCAGTGCCGCCTATCAGTGCTGACTAGCAGTACCCATCATCAGTGCCGCCTATCAGTTCCACCTATCAGTGCCGCCTATCCGTGCCACCATTAGTGCTCTATAGTGCTGCCTATCAGTGCCACCATCAGTGCTGCCTATCAGTGCAGCCTCATCAACGCACATCAGTGAAGGAGAAAAATTACCTGTTTGCAAAATTTTATAATAGAAACAAAGAAAGTTTTTTTTTTTTTCAAATTTGTTGCTCTTTTTTTGTTTATAGCGCAAAAAGTAAAAACACCCAGCAGCAAGTAAATACCACCAAAAGAAAGTTCTGTTTGTGAGAAAAAAAAAATGATAAAAATTTCATATGGGTACAATGTTGCATGACCACACATTTGTCAATCAGTGTGAGAGTGCTGAAAGCTGAAAATTGGCCTGTTAAGGAAGGGGGCAGGGGCGGACTGACCATTTAGAAACTCGGGCACTGTCCGAGGCCCCGGGGTCAGTAGGGGCCCCCATGAGATGCCCCTGGTACCTTTTTCATAGGCTTTTTTGTTTGGGCAAGGACACAGGGGCCCCATGATCCCCTATTGCCCGGGGGCCCCATGAGTTGTCAGTCCGCCCCTGGAAGGGGGTATACGTGCCCGGTAGGCAAGTGGTTAAGGTAAGTTGATTGGCGTAGTGGCAACGCTTCCTGTGGGGTTATAGTGATATATCAGTTAATAGGTTTACCTGTTGTGTGAAAATTCGATTTACATTCAGGCTTTAGACAAGGTGACTCCCAAAAATGAATTTTTTTTTTTTAGTTATCAACTCCACTTTTATATTTTATTTTTGCAAGTGTGTTACTGTCTATTCCTGATCTGGGGATTAGGCTTAAATGCAATTTCCTCTTCATCAGTTTTGACAACATTACCTTACAGCTTCGTGCAATTACCCTAATCAGCTGACAAGATCCTGAAAATCATCCTCCATTTCACTCCATGGTTTCTTCAAAATGATAAAATTTACCATTACACCAACAAAAATATTGTCAGTCTTTTGAAAACATTAATTTGCAAATTCTCTATCATTTGAAACACTTGATCCAATTTAAGATGGTTATAGGTACTATTCGTTCTTAAGATCAAAGAGCTCTGGCTGCTAAAGCGATGAAAGGTTAATGGTTTATTCATCTTTATATTAAAGAGGCACAAAGGAATGTGTGTGCTGAAGTCATGATAATACTTCCAAAATCAACTCATAAACTAATCAGCTTCCAGGCTGCCAAAGCTTCATTAAAAAAAATGGATGCAGAAGGGAGTCTGAGTCATGTAGTAAATAAACAATCTGTCAATAGCATTAACCCAGCAGTATATGTTTTTCTGAGTCCCTACATTGCATAGTTTTATTACCTGGTGATCCTGCCAGTAAGTCTGTCATATCTGAACTTGCTTTAGCAGACCAACCTGTCTAGAAAAAGTGGCAGTTAGAGGGATGAGACAAACCATTTACCACTGACAGGGGTGCTCACAATGGTCAATTTTTTAAATATAGCTAGAGAGGAACTTCAGGGTTAATGTTGATATTAATGGTCTCTTACCTTTGTTGCTACATTATTATTACAGGTAATTATACAGCGCTGTCAATTTACACAGCACTTTACATATATATATATTGTACATTCATTTCCGTCTCTAACCCTCAAGGGTTTTACAATCTAAAGTCCCTAACTGAAGACATTCATACACATACTAGGGCCAATTTAGACAGAAGCCAATTAACCTACCAGCATGTCTTTGGAATGGTGGAGGAAACCAGAGTACCCATAGGAAACCCATGCAGGCACAGGGAGAACATGCAAACTCCAGGCAGGTAGTGCCGTGGTTGGGGTTTGAACCAACGACCCTAGTACTGCCAGGCAGAAGTGCTAACCATTTAGCCACTCTGCTGCCCACATTGAGCTGGATTAGCATACACAAACACCCAGTGCATCCATTGTTCTACTTTGATATACCTATCCACTGCTGCACGTCAGATCCAATACTGTCATCTTCCTTTCTGACATCATTACAAGGCCGGTCTGGGTCCTTGCAGCAAGCAGATAGCATACACTGCTCATGTGTAGTGTGATGCAAATGGCCCGAAAGCATCCTGATAAACATAATGAGGTATGCCAGAAGGTTGCAGACAGCTGGGACTATGTCATTTTCACCTAGGGGGAGAACTACAGAAGTCCTGGCCTGCTGCCAGTGACAGGAGAGGGAGCAGAGTGATAGGATCGGGGCAGAGTAACAGAAGGGGGGGGGCAAAATGACAGGAGGGGGGGCAGAGTGACAAGAGGGTGAGTAGTATGAGAGGAGGGAAGCAGTGTCACAGGAATTGAGCAGAGTGACAGGAGGACACTTGGGCACACACTATACTATACACTGGGCATTGAGTAGATCAGTCAGGTCTAGCTACCAGACGGGAATGGCAGGAGCAGTTTGGCAGGAGGCAAGAAGCGGAAGCCATAGTCGGGGGGCAGAGCTGGAAGGCAGAGCTGGTCTTCACATATGAAGTTTTCTCCTCCTGTGCAAAGCGCATAATTGGTTGCTTGGACGCCAGAAGTCCATACCACCAATGACTGCTAGCCTAGCCTCCTTTCACATCCTGTTCAGGGGCACCACTTCTCCCCCACCTTATGGAAAGAAAACCAGGCATTTTAAAAATCTGAATCCCCAGCAAGTGGACAGGGATTCAGATTTTTCTACCTTATGCTGGTGCCAGCCCTGGTGTCACTCCTCTGGTGGGTGTCACCCGAGTGCAGTGCACACCCCCATAGTGACGCTGCTGGTTGCGGTGGTATGGGATACGCCAGAAATGTTGACTGGTACCAGGAGGACACACTTCATCAGGTGCAACTTTTTTGAGCAGTCTTTAAATCAGTAACCAATGGGAAAGCCAGAACTCAGGCCCTGTAGTAGCAGTCTCAGAGAAAGAGCTACAGCTGGCCCCCAGAAGTAGAACAGTACACAATCTTAAGCTTGGATCAGTAACAATTTCCCATGGCAGCTGCACACTAGCCCTCTTCAGTGGGGTTTCCAGCCCAAATTCTTAACCTTAAAAGTTAAAAGACATACGTTCCCCATCTCTGCTATCTATGGGACCTCAATGACCATCATCAGATTTCAGCAGAACTGCCTCAAAAGGTCATCAGCCCCTGAGGCTGGAAACTTCTCCAGCAGGACTAGACCCTGGCTGCTCCAAACCCCAGACTATTTATGAAATTCCCCAGTCACCTACTGGGCACACCTCCCCAGAGATTGGCTGAACCACAATAAATATTTAGGCTGCCTTTTTGACTTTCCCAGCCCTATATGTTCCGGAAGCCTCCAGAATGCAGGGATAAACAATCAAACTGACAACCTGTGAAATCTAGAACAGCCCATAGAAATCAATAGCTGCTCCAATGACTACAGAGGAGCCCAAAAACTAAATTTACCTAGCATCCCATACTAGGAGGGTGCTACAATGACATTTATCAGAATGAAAATTGTATTCTTAAATTGCCTACGTATTTGTCCTCATGGCTGAACTTGTAGTGGAGACTACTGTAAGTGTGACCCCTTTACACGTGTTAGCAGGTTGCTGATTCCTTGCCAGCTCCCACCAAGCTCCCATCATCTTCATGCTGAGGGATGAGATAGGGTATGTACACACCTGTAATAAGGAAAAGCTCCACCATCTTAGTGACACACATTCTCCTGGCTTGAGGCCTACCTCCGGTAATAAAGGAATGTCCACATGTACAGTCTTTTAAAACATTTTATTGTAGCAGAATCACAATAACAGTTCTGTACACCATAATTTTCTCTTCTGTGTCTCCAGCAGCAATAATTCACCACAGTATAAAGGCACCTTAACAAAGATTGTCTGGCCATCTCTTCCATACACCTCAATACAGGTCCCTCATAGATGAGTTCTCCTACAGAGTCCGCCATGGACCCAGAGGCCCTTGGGGGTTCCACGTCCCCAAGTTGTGGACTTATATATTGGTATACCAGGGGTAGCCTTTCCCCATTACCCTCTGTTCCAGATTTCTCCACCTCCAGAATATATAATGATGTACAACTCCACCTACCAGATAAACCAATGCCTACATTGCGAATGTGAAAGCAGGCAAGTTAGTGAGTGTGGTGTTCCATGCCTTGTAGCTTGGTTATGGATAAGGATGTGTGCTGAATATAGAAGCATGCATAGTGAGAGAACACACAACTGGACCTTTTAGATGGCAGACACATCTCAGTATATGATACTTCTTAACAGGGGTGGACTGACAACTCATGGGGCCCCTGGGCAATAGAGGATCATAGGGCCCCTGTGTCCTTGCCCAAATTCAAAAAAGCCTATGAAAAATGTACCAGGGGCATCTCATGGGGCCCCCTACTGACCCCGGGCCCTGGGGCAGTGCCCGAGTTTCTAAATGGTCAGTCCGCCCCTGCTTCTTAACTAGATATAGAAAGTAAATTTGAAGACGTCTCTTGTGGCAGAAGTCTGGAGCATTTCGATTACAAAGGTGTGTCTCCTGAAGATAGATAACATCACACTGCAGTTTGCGCACTTCTGAGAGTATCTCTTGTTAGGGCTGTTCAGTCCTTTAACATTTAAAGACATAATCTTAAAATGCCACGTATGGAAAGAAGGATGATTGCACATTTCCTCTCCTTTTGAAAGTGAAGATAAATGCCTTAGAGAGTACTGGCTGATTGTGCCTCAGGATATTGGAGTCCAAGGGTCACACCTACAGATTTAGAGGCCTCTTGAATTCAAGGGTGCTGCTGGATGTTGAGTGGAGATGGATGGAATATGCAACATTAGACAATATGACCACAAAGCTGGAAACTGTGAATACAAATGCCTATAAAGTTAATACAAAGAAACAACAGCTTAACCAA